AACACCAGCCTCTGCCAGGAACACAGAAATAATACAGCTGGCCCTCTGTGAGCCTGGATTCACCAGGAATCTTGCTAGGGAAAGCCAAGTTGGTGCCAAGGAAAATGGTGCAGAAGATGAGAGAGTGGAAAAAGAAAACAGGCTGTTAGACTGTTAACTATATTAAAGGTTTAGAGTTCTTGGAAATAATGGAGAGGAGACAAGATCCGCCAAACCTGTTTACTTGGGGTGGGAGACTAGCAGTGGTCAGACTTACAGATTGCTGTAGCCAAAGGAAGTTAGGAAAGGAGTGGCTAAGGAAAAGCTGGGTTAGAACAGGACTAGCTATGATACATAAAATGAAAATGCCATTATGATGGATATTCATGGGGAAGTGGACTGACAAAAGGAATCCTCGCCCTTCTTCCGCCTCAGAGTTTTATGAATATATCCAAACGCAGCCATGTTTAATAAAAGGCATAAAAGTTCAAGAACTTTTGCTCAACTGATTGCAAAGTATTTGATGTTTCTGGAAGTTTGGACCATGACAGCTATGATATTTTTGTGTATTGAGAAGTCTACCCTTGATTTAGCATGTCTTCAACTTAATGAATATATAAAGTCTGCTTAATGTCATTTCAAAAAAAACCCTTTTTAAGTTCTGTGGTTAGTAACTAGGACACAATAAAAATCACAGAAACAAATGAAGATTAATAATGAAATGTTCATCTGCCTTGGCTACCAGGTTAAATCACCAGCTATGCAGAGCATTTCATGCACAGTGGCTTGAGTTTTTTGGCTCAGAACTGGCAGCAAATGCTGGCTAGAAAATGGTGGTTTCTGTTGATTTCCCCCTAGCTTCCTTCAGCCAACAGCAGATAGAATTTCAGTGTTCTCAAAAGACTACAGGCTTAGAATATCAACTCTTACGTTTGCAAGAGAGATGATGGAAAACAACAAAAACAATTAAAAAAACCCCACACAAAAGGCAGATACGAAGCTCCACTTCACAGAGGCTCTGGTAATGTGCCCACAGTTGCACCGTGGGAGAATGAGGTGCTGTATTTCCACCAAATATCAGCTGCAGATCACAGCATAACCTGATATTCATGAAGAAATAGTTTCCTAGAAAATGCTAATAAACCTGATGGCTTCCTAGAAGTTTATGGAGAGACAGGCAAAATGATGGCATCTGTTTCTGTCATGAGGAAAAGCTTACATGCAAAAAATAGTTCAAGTAATTAGTATTTTTTAAATTAAGATGGTTACTGCTGGAAAGGGCTGAAAACTCGGTACAAACGAATCTTTTACTTGAAGTCTGGGAGAGCAGAATTTACATTACAGTCAGAGAATGAGAAAAACTGACAGTCCTGACCTGTTTTGGAACTAGAGACTGAGTGGAACAGTACTGTAAGCACTTTTGGACTGCTGAGACATCCCACCATGACAAAATATTCCACTTTTTCAGAACAAGATTCACCTCAAAGCTCTGCTTGTATGTGTATTTGGTGTATTTGTAAATATGAATTAGGGTTAATGACCCCACTTTGTAGTGAGTAATTGCCATTAGAATGATGATAGAGTTCTAATAATGTACACCAGAATCTTGAAAATGGCACCAAAGACATTTTTCCAACTGAGCTAGCAGAAACCAAACTGAACAGATGTATCCCTGACTTGGAATTTTAACTTGGAACTGTGGCTTCTTTGGAAAAATCTGTGATCTCTATTTAGGGATTATATATTAGTTGAGGAATGTTTTATTGAGATTTTACTGCCTCCTCAATCTAGGGAAGAATGCAGAAATATGCCACATTTTCCTTTTCTCAATTTTTTAAAAGAATTAAAGAATTAAAAGAATTAAAAGACTCACAAAAGAAAAAAAAAGAAAAAAAGAAAAAAAAGAAACATCTAGTTTAATTTTGGACAAAGCTTGTCAACTTGTCCTCAACTGGTAATTTTTGCCTTTCTTTGCCAACAAAAACTTTTCAAGTTAACACAAAATTTTTGGTTTTAGAACATTTTAGGGAAGAAACCATTAATAATTCACATAGATCCTCTACTGTACTGACCCTATAAGATGTTGAGGAGATCTGTCTCCTCAGGGAAATGGGTGTTATGTCTTCCAGACCTCTTTGATGCCTGGAGATGAACATTCCTTATGCATGACACCTGCAAATCCTCTATAAATTTTCTAATTAAATTAGATAGCCACCTTTGGTCATTGTTGTGCTGGAGATGAGCACATCAGAAATAGTTTATGGCAAGGACAATCCTATTAAGGGACAACAAAAATGACAGTTGTGCTCGTTCGTTCCATGAGTATTAAAAAATGGGAGTTCTGATACATCTTCCAACATCCTCCTCACTGGGGAGAACAGAAGCCTCTGTTTGAGGCATCTTGATTTTAGCAGAATTGGAAAAAATAAATAGAAAATACAGGAAAGAGGTTTCAGGCCTAACTTTACATAAATTAATAGATTAACAACTGGAGGCAACACATCTTGTAGACCACTAGGAGAGATTTTTTCCTTTTTTATCCATATTAATCAAAAAGTTTATTTTTAATGCAAACTTCAATCCTTTTGTAAGAATTGCATTTACTGTTATTTCCATCAACTATCAAACTTCTTAGTCAGTTGATATTTCAAAGTGCTTGTGTAAAAGATTGCCCACATGACCTCTGACTTTGCAATTGTGATTTTTTTTTTTGTTTAGGATATATTTGGCTTTGTTATTTTAGAAAAAAACTCCATTTCAACTCATATTCTTTCCCACTGAGGACCAAGAGACAATATGGTGTTTTGAGGGGCTAATTAAGAGATTGGTGGTGACATTTTAGCAAATCCAATTCCCTGCTGGGAAATAAAAATTCAATAATTTTTTGGGCAAGACCCAAAAAGCCAGGGAAACAAAGCCTTTTAAATATAGTCATTTTGAGGCATTTGGGTTTTTAACAGTTGATAGGTAAATACTGCAAACCAGAGGCAATGGCAAAAGGAAAACTCCTAACAAAACTCTAACCCTGGATCAACACTGAGTTTGTCACCTGCCAACAGAGATAGGTGCTGACCCCATATTACCATGCAGAGCTGAATATTTCAAATCATCAAGTTATTTTGCTTATCAGGATTCCTTATACAACAGAACAGCCACGTTTCCAGTTAAAATAGTTGGTAGGAATTCCTAAGAAACCTTCCAAGCAACTGCACAAACATAAAAAATATCAAGGGAGAAATGCCTGGAATCCTAGTAAGTGACCCTGGAAAACTCCTTATTGAAGGATTTTACAAATAGCCTTTCCCTTCAGCACTGTGGGTGCCCTACTTAAAATAAATAAGAGTTGACAGATAAAGCAATTAGAAAATCTACACTTCTGGAATAACAAAATGTGCAAACAACGGAGAGAACGGTTAGTTAATTAAAAAATGTATTTTAAAAAACAAGACCTTTTTATTTTCCTGCTCCTTGCATTTCAGCATGATATCTGTATTCGACTGTGAAAAATGCGTATTTTATGATTGGCTTTTCGCAAATATTAAAATGAATATTATCTGTGTTATTTTAGAAAGTTTTGCTGTATTAATTTTCTTAAGTAGTGTGTGAAATATAGTTTTACCTCTGTTAATGTGTGTCCTTTTTTGGGTTTATTTTGCCCAGAAAAAGATTCCCCGACCATCCGTAACTCTTTGTTTTTTATTGTGTCATATTGTCCTAATCCAAATTGTCCAAATTTTTATTTCTCTAATTATATTACTATTTTTATAGTAATTTTATTACTATTAAACTTTCAAAATTTTCAAAACAACTGGCTGGCATTTTTCACACGGCTTTGTTGGTTCTTTTCAGCAAACCAGACTTAAAATGCCTCACCCTTGGTAAAGGCAGACAACCTGTCACAGCCCCGTACCTTCAGCGGCCGTGGTGATGCCATCGTGGGCAGTGACCTTTTCAGCTCAAATCGAGTGTTTCTTGGCAGGGCAGCCCTGGATTCTTCCTTCAGCTGCTCTTTGCTGTTCTCTGTCCCCCACTGGGACAAAATCAGCATTTTTAATTTTCAATTTCAGGCCGAAGAGAGCTGGACAGAGCCCCCTGTCCCTCAGTGGCTTTCACCTTTGAAACAACAAAGGTGTTTCCTCTGATCATCAGAACAAGCCACCATTTAGCAGGGTTCTGGACTATGCTTTCCCACAGGTGTAGGGCACACACTAGCCCACTGCTTATCATGCATACCCTGATTATGATTAATGAAAACAATTAGTTAAAAATTATCGAGGAAAGTGAACCAGGGGCAGGGAAGAGGAGGCAGGGCTGAGCAGCAGGACAGCCCGGGGCAATCCCGGCCACGGCCGCTCCCTCAGCCGCCCTGAGGCGCCTCCCGTGTTGAAAATGATTAATTATATAATTCAGAGCCAGTGAGCATGAATTTGATAAACATATATAAACAGGTGAGAAAGTTTTTTATCAGCTTCTGTGTGGAGGCCCCAAATTTTGTCGGGAAGGCAGAATTTTATCCTGGCCGAGGACAAAGCAGCGCCTGGCTGGCTGGCGCTAACAGACGACGTTTGGGGTTTGTTTTTCCCGACATTTCGGGAGAATTCGGTCGGACCGCGGCTCGCGGCGGAAGTCACGTGAGCCGGGGCTCGAGCGGGGCCCCCTTCCCTGGCCGCGGCCTGTGGGGCGCCACCCGCGGCCGCCGGCGGTACTGCCCCCCCCGGCCCCGCCCCGCCCCGCTGCCCCCGCCGGGCGCACGCGCGGTGCGGGCGGGCGCGGCGTTCCCGCTTTGGGCCCCACCGAGCCGCGTCTCCCGGCGGATTCCGAGGGGGCGGCGGCATCGGGGGATTGTGAGAGCGCAGCGGGGCCCGCGGAGCTCGCCCCGGGGCCGTGCAGCCTGCGAGGCGACCCTGCGTCCCGCCCGCCGCAGCGTCGGCCCCGCAGAGTAGCGCGGCGGGAGAGAACCGCCCGCCCGAGCGAGTGAGTGCCGCGGGTCCCACGCGTGGGGGGGCGCGAGGGGCGACCGGGCACGAACGGGAGCCGTGCAGGGATGGAGGGAGCGGGGCGGCGGCGGGGATTTGGGGAGGGATCGCAGGGTTCGGAACGCGCGGACCCGATCGGTCCGTGAGGTGCGCAGGCAGCGCGCGGCGTCGCCGGGACGGAGCGAGCGGAGCCGGGAGTCCAAGCGGAACGGCAGCTGCGGGGCGGCCCCGGCGGCGTCCGGCTTCCGCTTCCTCCCGCCGGGAGCCGCGGCGACGGCGCTGCGACACCGCCGGGCCCGGCCCTGCGGCCCCGCGGCGTTCGGGCGATGCCGCCCCCTGCGAAGCCCCAGCGAAGCCTCGCTTGCGAGCGGCCGCGGTGAACGGGGCAGCGGAGCTCCGGGCCTTCTGTAGGTCAGCAGAGCGTCTGCGGTGTGTCGATTTTAAACAAGGAGAGCTTGTTAAGCGAGCAGGAGATAGGCTGGATATCAGGAAAGGTTCTTCCCCCAGAGGGTGTCGGGCACTGCCCAGGCTCCCCAGGGAATGGTCACGGCCCCAAGGCTGCCAGAGCTCCGGGAGCGTTTGGACAACGCTCTCAGGGATGCACAGGGTGGGATTGAGGGGGGTCCGTGCAGGGCCAGGGGTTGAACTCAGTAATCCTTGTGGGTCCCTCCCAACTCAGGTTATTCTGTGATTCTTTGATATGTTTCTGAAAATACTTTTATCTCAGCCTGTTCAGAACGCGTGCTCCAAAAACTCGGTGAAGTTTGTGAACACCGACCAGATGTAGGTTTGTGTTGGTTCTTGTTTCACGGGATAGAATACACTTCAGGTTCTCTGTTAGATCCTCTAGAATGCTTTTAAAGAGAAATTGTATAAACACAGGGGGATACAGAGAACCCGGAGCCTAGGTCGACAAGGTTTTCCCTGTTTTGGTGGGGGACAGGCTCTGTAGATAATGTGCTCTTTCAATAACTCAAATATTTAATGTAATAATGAAATTAATACATTGAAATAATACTATACTATATTATCTACATAATGTGAATATATGCTATAGATGTAGAATATAGAATATATATACAGAACACTATTATTATATAGAATATATATACAGAACATATTTATTATAAATTAAAATGTATTACATAATATAACACATTCTATATAAAAATTATGTAATAAAATAATAATTTAGATAAAGGTGAGTTTAAAATCTTTAAAATAACTTCTTTCTTAGCTTTTTAATGGGTTAGATTGAAATGATCTCCCAGTGATTATCAAGCTAGGATGTCTGCTTTCAGGACAGAGTGGATTAGGGCATTTAAATATGTATACACAGGCCAATCTTTGTCCCAGAAGCTCTGGTAACTTGACCTTATTTGTGATGTGTGTCAGACAAAATTCAGGACTTGGATGTGTGATCTCCAAGACTGCTGTGCTGCTGGATTTACTGTTCTGAAATGTTCCAAGATGTAAACAAGATATCTTGTAACAATGTATTGTTGCAATTTCTGGCTCTGAAATTCAGCTTTTTGTGGTTTTCTTTTGTCTTTTTTTCTGGGCAGGTCTTAATCACAAACCCAGGGGGGTTTTGGAAGAGTTTTAGTTGTTGTGCTTGCTTGAGATTCAAACTGCAACAAAACTACATACTTCCTTTGGAAAGTTTTCATATTTCGTGTCAGAAGATATAACCATAGTTAGTAAAATATCTCTTTTTTCACATAAAATTCCAGTAGTGTGACTGCTTGCCAGGTTTTTTAGATAGAAAACATGGTATCTGGATTCATTCTTTGGTGTTGTACACAGCTCATAAGTTGTACTTCAGTAAAACAGGACTCAGAACAGTTACAGACATTCCTTCTGCAAAGCTGATTTTGCTTTACATCACAGAGATAAGCAGAAAAATGATGATTTCTCTGCTTACAGCAACTGCTCTAAAATCCATGACCTGACTTACGTGTCCTTTGTAGGACACATAAGTAAGCCAATCTCATTTATTTGTAATTTTTTCCCAAATTTTCAAATTAGTAATGGCCAACCAATCCAGTTTTTTAAAGGAGGGCATTGTCTTCAGTCTTGACCAAGCTCTGCTCAGTTGATTCAGTATTTATTGTAGAAGTTATAAAGCAACTCACTTTTTCTTCCTGCTTAGGTAGGTATCCTGAGGTGGCAGTGGGGAGTGGGATATGGAATGTTTCAACCACAGCTTTGGGGTTTTTGTAGCCCTTCACAATGGGAGTATGTGAGTTATGTTTCTGAAAGGAATTTTTCCAGCTGCTAAAGAAAATTTATGCCATAACTGAACTGTACCTTTCTGTTGTTGCTTTAATTTAAGATTGAATATGGCTGATCACAGCTTTAATCTTAAGTGCTGCTGATTGTTTTTGCCACAACATTTGGTTTTCAGTTGTTGTTCCAATCTTGACTTGCTTCTACATGAACTGCAGTTCCTGTTTGTTTTTGGTTTTTTGTTTTTTTTTTTTGTTCTAAGAATACCAATTGAAGATCACTGGCACTTAGAATTTAATTTCTGTGCAATTCTTTCTAGGATTTTTTGTTTCTTCCACACAGGTGTGAAAAAATGGCAAAGAGAATTGCAGAAAAGGAGCTGACTGACCGAAACTGGGACCAGGAGGATGAAGCTGAAGAGGTAAAATACACATTAGTTTCCCCCCATGTACACTTGCAGGTAGTAGAGTGGCTGTTTACATTTGCTGTGTATCTTGTGCATAAAACCTGTAGTAGAACTGGTTAAAGGTTTAGCAAGTAAAGATAATTTTATAGAAGTGGATTTTTTAAAATTATTTTTATAAAACTTACAATTATGCAGACTGTACAGCAAAGCAGCTTTTAAGAGTGAAAATTTCATCAGTGGTTGTGGGGAAAGGAACTTCATGTTTCTAGAGGGAACCCCAGGCTTGTTAAAATGCTTTTGAACTCTTCAAATGTGTGATAGGTATTTATTGAATTGACAGGAAAAGCAGACTTGATTTCTGGAGATAAATGCTCTGAATGCCTCCAGTATTTTTTGAGGGTCAGTAATAGCTAATTTTAGAACGATGTTAATTTTAGCTGAATTTCCCCACACAGCCAGAGGAATTAGGCAAATAATTAAGTGGTATATTCCACCTGATTTTAAAAAGAGATTTTCGCTTTTAAGGTCTCATACTTCCTTATGGCTCAGGTTTAAACAAACTCGTTTAGTTTTTGTCCAACTAAAAGTATTAAATGCTTAGGCCTGTAAATGTAAAAAAGAAAACTGTCTATTCCAGGAATTTGAAAATAAGAAAACTTAATTTCCTCATTTCTTGCAGGGTGGTGCTGAGCCATTAGCTGTCTTTGCTAGTGTTTGAGCTACAGCAGGCTGCTGGAGGTAGCCTTAGAGCCCACATCTCCATATAACTGCTCCAGATTCCGTTCAGCAGAGAGATCTTAGAGCTGTGTTTTAAAAAAGCAACCCAAAACTTACATTATTTGTTGTAGTAAAATGGAGATAGCACAAAGAGAAATGTAGTGCAGGACCAGAAAGAGTTTTCCAAGTATCAGCTGACATTCAGGTAGCTGGTAAGATGATTGACAGTGCAGTATTTTTGGAGTGGGCTGGTTTTTAACTTCTTCCCTTGTTTGTTTGGTAGCAGTGTTAGAGTTGTGTTCAAAACCTGATCTCAGCCATCCCTTCATGTTCTGTGTTTTGAATATTCCACTAATGATTCCCTAACTTCCTCTTCAAGGTGGGAACATTCTCTGTGGCAAGTGAAGAGGTCCTGAAGAACAGAGCTATTAAAAAAGCAAAGCGCCGAAACGTTGGGTCAGAGGTAACGTAGTCACTGAGCATGGGTGCTGGAGTTTCACTCAGTCACAAAACACAACATCATGCTCAGCTTTCTGACTTCTTGGGTTTGTGGTGAAGCTGAATAAAGTTATCATTTCAACTCACCAGGTCATATGTGCACATGAACTTTGCCTTTACTGTTCCATGCTAAGAATAAGCTGAGGCAAAAAAAGGGTAATACTGCTTTGACTGGCTGAGCAGGGTGTTCTTGCATTTTTTTGAAGTAAAAATAAAGAATGTTTCAGATGCAATGTTGTTTGAAAATGGGTAAAACAGCATTTTTACTGCTTCCATTTTTTGTAGAGATGGAAGTACGGAAATGCAAAGTTATTAGTTATCCATACTGGAGGGCTGGGGGATGTCTCAGAAGCTGTATTAGTGAACACCCAAATACTAAGCGTCTCTGAGAATGAGAAACATGTCTTTTGTTAAGAATGCTGCTACTTTTTTTTCCTTCCTCCCTGTCAAGAGCTTTAGTGCCATCTACTCTTTGCACTAACAAATTGAAAATTGAAAGGAAGTTGGCCTTTGTTACAGGTTTAATCCCTGTGAAAGCATTTTTCCAGTCCAGCCAAATTGTTGTCCTTTCAGAAATCCTTGACAAATGCTTTGTTGTGTATATTTTTCCCAGACATCCTTTGAACAAGGCATGCATCGTGTTAGAAACAGACCTGGAGCTTTATGTGTTACACAGATTGCTCTAGGACTGCTTGGGGCTAGGCACAGTTAGGAGCTAGACAGCCTTCTCCTATGCTTTTGATTTTCCTTCTTCAGTCCAAGCACTGTAAATGAGGAAGCTGTTTTAGCCCACTAATGCCTTGAGTAGTTTTAGCCACAAATGTGGTAGAGGATACAGTTAAATAAATGATTGTACTGGAAGGAGGTGATGCAAAACATAAACTGCAGTTTGAGCAGGAGAGATTCAGGGGCAAATGGAATAGGAAAAATAGAACAGAATGAGAAAGGGGACCAGATGGGTTGTAGAACTAGTCAGGAGACTGGGATCAGGCTGCTAGAACTGGTGGAAGGGCTGGTGACAACTAGGGACCATGCAGCCCCTCACTCTTCCTCCTAGTGGCATGAGGAGGAGAATCAGAAAAAAGGATAAAAACATGGGTTGAGATAAGAACAGTTTAATGATTGAAGTATAATGAGAATGATGATAAGGGAACAAGAAGAGAAAGAAATAAACCCCAAGAAAAAGCAGTGATGCACAGGACAGTTGCTCACTACCCACTGACCTCATTCCATCCCCAAGCAGGAATTAGCTTCTCCCAGGCACCCCACTCCCAGTTTCTCTGCTGGCCATGACATTCTGTGTTCAGGTCACTGTCCTGGCTGTGCTCCCTCTCAGCTCCTTGTGTCCTGCTCACTGGCAGAGCATGAGCCACTGAGAGGTCCTTGATTGCTGCTCAGCACCAGCTAAAACATCCTTGTGTTATCAACATTCTTCTCACCCTGAGTTCAAACCACACCACTGTACCAGCTACTAGGGAGCAGGTTAACTATCCCAGCCAAAACCAGGACAACAGGCTGGACAAAATCTAAAACACAGAAGAGATGACAGGGCAGCTGAAGTTGTGTAAGAAACCTGTGAAATATTTACAAAAAGCAAAACTTGAAGCTTACATGGTTCCTACATGGAGCAAGCAGAATGCTGCAGTGAAGAAGACAGCACTTTAACTGGAATGTCCAGAGAGAAAGGTGGGACTGATCAGAGAGAAGTGCAATAAAAATACCTACCTAGGAATGAGAAGCAGAGGACTGCACTGGAAAAAATAGCACAAAAGGAAGCAAAGAGACCCATAACCACAAGGTCAGCCTAAACTTGACAAGCTTTGCCATTTCTTCAGTGGCAGAAGCAGAAGGAACTCGAAAGCAGTTCTCTCATGGTTTCCCAGAGACAATGAAAGTTCACTTAGAGTAGTAAAAGTTCATTACCTCCAGAGGTCTAAAAATTGCAGTGCTTTATTTGCATGTTAATTGTACTTTGTCTTTTAGAAACACCTAAGAAACTATACCTAAAATAATACAGTTGCAAAGACAGTGATCAGAACTGGGTAATAATGAAAAGGTTGCATTGATAAATATTTTGTGGTCAGGTACAGTCTGTCTTTGCATCTTCTATCAGTCACATTGGAATATTTCGGGTAAATCAGAAGAGGTTTCATAGGTGACTCCAGAGTGATGAGTGGATTAAAGTATTGGGCTCTTGACTGCCATTGTAAATGCTAAAAGTTGTTGAAAATAAACCTGAAATCACATAATCTTCTGTAGTTATTTAAAGAAAATAAGATGTTGTGAATGTCTAATAGGTAGTCAAACACATCCACAGCTCTGAACAACTTCCATGTATCCACATCCTAGACCCAGTTTATTTTCATACCAAACATCTGAGTCTTTTAAAAACAGGAGCAGTGTGTGTCATAAGGAAGCTGTTAATTTTGTTTGCATAGCTGACACAGTAATGCATGGAATGACACACTGAGCTAGGGAAAAATAAACCAGGAATATTAACTGGCGATAGGATCTGTGTGGAGAAGATTTTGTAACTGGTCTCTCTTTTTCCTCCCCAGTCTGAAAGTGGAGGAGCTTTTAAGGGGTTTAAAGGCTTTGTATTGCCTTCTGGAAAAGGAGGAGGTGGCTTCAGTGGATTTGGGAATGGTGCAGGAATAAAGCCTTTGGAAGGGCTGTCCAATGGAAGCAGCAGTGTCTCCAGTACTCCTCCTTTCAGCAGTTTGAAGAGCACCTCTGAAACACAATCAGCATTTGGTAAGTTTTAAACAAGCCTACATATTTATCAACACCTTCAGTCATAAAATTTGTAGGGTTATTTTAGTAGTGAAGAAACAAATGTAGACCATCTTATAGTTGTGTTTTAAGGTTTTGAGACTTTATACCTCTTTGTAAGATTTCTTATTATTTTAGAGTGCTGGAGGGACAAATTTTCACATGCATGCAATTTAAAGAGGTGGCAACTAAATTCACATTTCTAATACTGGAGAAAAAGTTTTTTAGGCACAGATGGAAATGGAAGGCACTGGCATAAGGCAGTCTGTAAAAGGTATAAGGCATCTGGTAACATGTCCCAGTTCTTTGAATTTAAATAAAAAATACATGCTGCTTAGCTAAAGTCTTAATCTTTTTTCCTTGTACATCTTATTTTGCAGACAGTCTTACTAGAATTTTATCTGTTACAGTTATACCTACATTTTAAGACATTTGAAATACTTCAGCATGTTGAGCTGTCATGCTTTGGAATTCCCTGAGGAATATTAGTTCTGTCCCTTTGTGCTGGACATGCAGAAATGTTAACCCTGTCACCACAGAATTTTGGAGTCACCATGCCATAGAATACAATTGGTGGAGTTTGAACTTTAGAGTAACTTGGATTTCAGTGAGCTTGAATAAAATAAGAGAAACAGAAATATTCAACGAGAATTTTTCTAGTTTGCTTCTTAGGGTTTTTTATACAGAAGTGTTCAAAAGCTTGTAAAATTATGGGCTAGTGCACTCAGGGTGGTTTAAAGCACATTTAAAGCACAAATGGCAGGAGATAAGTTGAGTTTTTTGATTTAATAAGCGTTACAGCTTGCTGAAGTTGTTAGATTTTTGTAAGATTTTGAAGGTTTTGGCTATATATAAAACATGTATTTTTTTAATGTTCTGTACAAGATGTCTTTGGATTTTTTTTTTTATACACCAGTGTGCTCCATCTACCTTGTCTATCCCTAACTTATTTGTCTAAATGAAAACTTGGATCTGCTCACTGGCATGGGAGTAACTGGGGCACAGTGTGACTCAAAAGAAGGAGATCAGCTGAGTAAGGATGAGTGTTCCAATTAAGAAATACTGTACATGTTAGGCTTTTAAGAGAGCTGTGCTTTCTGGGTTAAAAAAAAGGTTCTAAGCCACATTTCTCATTAGGTCAGCAAAGCATCTGTCTTGTTTTGTTGTGTTATTTTTTTTAACCAGAGCTTATTAGACAAATGAGTTAAGTTGGATATTAGACAGATGAGTTAAGTTGGATATCAGGGAAAGGTTCTTCCCTCAGAGGGTGCTCAGGTACTGTCCAGGCTCCCCAGGGAATGGTCACAGCCCCAAAGCTGCCAGAGCTCTGGGAATATTTGGACAATGCCCTCGGGCACAGGGTGGGATTGTTGGGGTGTCTTGTGCAAGGCCAGGAGCCGGACTCGATGATCCTGGTGGATCCCTCCCAGCTCAGGATATTCTATAATCCTTGGATTTTTCTTGTAACAGCATCCCCAGTGTCAAATGGTCCCAGCGCTGCGGCGTTTGCGGAGAAGAAGGCTGCCAGCCCGGCCGCCAACGGCGGCAGCCAGCCCTGCCCCTCCTCGGGCGGCGCCCCGAGCGCGGGCGCCTACCACAAGCAGCTGGCTGCTCTCAACCGCTCCGTGCGGGACTGGATCGTGAAGCACGTGAACAGCAACCCCCTGTGCGACCTGAGCCCCATCTTCAGGGACTACGAGCGCTATTTGGCCAGCATTGAGCAGCAGCACGGAGGCAGCAGCGACAGCGGCTCCGAGAACGAAGGCGCCAAGACCCCCGGCCCGCGGGCCGCTCCCGCGTTCGGCGGCTCAAAGATCCAGCAAGGCTCCGCGTTTCTGTTCAACAGCAAAACTGAGGATACCTCGGACAAAAAACCTGAAGCTGCGTCGGAAAAAAGAGACCCGTTGTTAGGAGCTACGTCAACTGTCTCGTTTAATTTTGGCAAGAGTGTTGACAGTTCTGTTTTGTGTTCCCTTGGTTCAGGAACGCTTAGTAGTTTCTCATTTTCTCCTGGGAATTCAGGTTTGTTTGGAAAAGATGCAAACCAGGCCAAATCTGTCACTGCGGCGTCCGCCAGTTTATTGGAAGCTCAAACAGACAGTGGCAATACTGATGACAAAGGTAAATTCTATGTATGTCTATTTATAGTTGTTTTAATGGTCAGCTGTGAGTGCATGTGACTTAGGAATACTAAAAAAAATGCAATATTAAGTTCACTGAGATGATGGCATGGTGTAACGTCTGAGGAGGTTTAGGCTGGATGTCAGGAAAAGGTTCTTCCCCCAGAGGGTGCTCAGACACTGCCCAGGCTCCCCAGGGAATGCCAGAGCTCCAAGAGCATTTGGACAATGCTCTCAGGTACAGGGTAGGATGGTTGGGGTGTTCTGGGCAGCGCCAGGAGCTGGATTTGATGATCCTGGTGGGTCCTTTCCAACTCAGGAAATTCTGTATTCTGTGATCATCATCATTCTTAAATTTGAAAGTACAGAATTATACCCCTAATCAAAAACCCAGCCTTATATAAGCAACACCAAAAGTATGTGCTTATCAAGACTTACATACTTCTGTCAGATTTGTACTTTATACAATATAATATACAAAATAATCCTAAATCTGAGGACAGGAATTGATGACATTTAAAGCAGCTGGTATGTTCACCTTTGAGCCTGCTGGACTTGTCAATCCCACTACTTTTCCTAGTAGGTTTATCAAGAGGTCCCTGCAGTAAAAAGCATGAGATGCAGAACAGTTTAGTCCATTTTACTTAATAGATTGTAAGGAGGCCTCCAAAGTTACATAGTACCTGACAGCTTTTCTCTGGTCTTTGCCTGTGCTGAATACAATGGGGTGATGGAAATCCCAGTAGCTGAGAGGCTGGAAAGGCATAACCTGCCACTCTCTTATCTGTCATTCTGCAACTATTTCCCTTCCCCCAAATTAAATGTGGCTCTTGGAACTATTTATTGTGCTCTACTTGAACCCATTTGTGGAGAATACTCTGAAGTGTGAAAACTGTTTCTGTTCAAACAGAAGCTTTTGACTTACTAAGCTTTATATTGTTGGTGTTTGATTGTTTGGTATGGATTGGGTATTTTCATCCCACTTAACTGAAGGTGAGGATGAAGTTGCTTTAAGAGCTGAATGAAAAGCAAGTAACACTTTTTTTTGTAGCTGAAGCTGCTGCAGAGTACACATGGACTGAAAGGTGTTCTGGCTGTCACTGACCAGCCACGTGTCCATGCCAACCATGGTGGGCATAAGGGACTGCCAATACACTGCCAAAATCTGTGCTCACAACATTAACATATTAAAACTTTCTATTTAAAGGAGGGGAAGAGGAGGAAGAAGAGCCACCAAAAGTTATTGTTAATGAAATAAAAGAAGATGATGCTTTCTACTCAAAGAAGTAAGTGACTTTAACTTGGTAAATAAAATTAATACCTGTATTTACTGTGTATTGCTATTCTTCACCACTGCAGTGCATAATTAATGATGTTTCCCTGACTTCCTAATAAATAAAACTTGTTAGGAATCCACATAGAATATGAACTTGTAAACGAATTTAATTACAGGCAGGAGTGTGTAAGATCTTACTAAAATCCTTCTGTATCTTGGGCACAACTGTAATAGTTGTACATGTGATTAGCTTTTTTAACAAGTGAAGATGCTTCTGCCTTCATCAGGTTTTGTACAGTTAAGTTGCAGGACCTTGGGCTTTTACCACAGAAACCTTATACAATACTGCTGGAAAATGCACCAGGTGGATTTGCATAGCCTAAAATAAGACTCTTCAGTTGGAAAATGCTGATTATTATTATATGAAGGGGTGAACAAGTTGTGCTTTTAAGCTCAAAATGAAACTGGCTCCACTAGAAGCAGTTTTTCAAAGCATGTTCAGTAGTCCAAGTAATTGCATGTCTGCTTGACACTCAGCACAGAATTTGTCCTGCTACAAAAAGTCATTAACCAGATCTGAAAAGTGTGTGCTACTTTATTAAAATGGCTTCAGGTTTATTAGAGCCTCAGTTAAAAAATGTTTATAAATTGTACAATTAAATCTTATTATAACTTCAGAATGATACAGCCAGTTCTTACAGCTTTCTAATTAGTTTTTTTTTTTTTTTTAAGTAGCCTACATTTATTGCTCCTCACAGGCCCTCAGTACTCAGGGCTTTACTTTTCCCTGAAAGCAATACATTTATCATTTCAATACTGAAAGAAATAATTCACTTCCTCTTTCATCTCCAAGTGCTGTCCATTAGCACATGAAACAAGGTCAAGAATAATAAAGATTTAGGTTGCTCACAGCATGTGAAATCCTGATTACTGTTACTGTGAGTCAGATGGATACACGTACCTGGGAGACATCTTTTTATTTCATCTCTACATGGCTGCACAAACAAGGAATTGGGTTTTATTTTTTTTCTCCACAGGTGCAAATTGTTCTACAAAAAGGATAATGAATTTAAAGAAAAAGGTGTAGGAACATTACATTTAAAACCAGCAGGAAATGAAAAAACTCAACTCTTAGTACGAGCAGATACCAATTTAGGTAAGTACATTTATCTCAGTAAGGAGTCTTGATGTCAAAATTCCTTGCTAAGCATTAGGATTTTTTGGGTCTTTTTTACACATCATTAACAGATACAACTAGTGAAAAGCTTTCTACTTTTTTTTTCCTAAATCATTTAGAATTAGTGACAAACACTTGGATGCCTCTAGTGAGCATTACAAAAGACAACACATGAAGCAGTGCAAGAAGTAAAAGGCTATGGTGTGTGTTTGGAGATACAAAGTACCTGTTGTACCCTGGGTTGTCCAGACTAACATGTCTGTCTGTGTCAGAACATTTTGCTTCTGCATATGAACCGTGTCTGGTGGTCAGAATGAGTAACTTGGCATAAACTAAGCATGGATTAGTGCTTGTGACTGGATTCCTCATTTGCTGCTTCTCCCTTGTCCCCTTCCTGTTCTCCTGTGTCCCCCTATTATCATTGGATATTCAGGTTCCTCCATTTAAAAAAGGAGGATGCAGAGATTTTCTCATTTCTAGTGAGGAAAGAAATCTGAGAGGAATGGCCATGAGAGGAATGGCCTCTGAGAGGAATAGATGCTTAGGAAAGAAGAAGACAAACATACATATTTGTGAATTTCCTTCCTTCCAAACACCACCCTAAATCTCTAGTATCTATTCTAACACTGTATTGCAGTAAAAGCTAGAAAATGGCTAATGGTAAATTTTTCCCCTCCTCAAATGCAGGAAATATTCTGTTGAATGTTCTAATTCCACCTAAGATGCCGTGTTCAAGAACCGGAAAAAACAATGTTCTTATAGTTTGTGTTCCTAATCCACCCATCGATGAGAAGAATCCAGCTGTTCCTGTCACTATGCTAATAAGAGTGAAAACAAGTGAGGATGCAGATGAGTTGCACAAAATCTTACTGGAGAAAAAGGAGGCTTAAATAAGTTGCAGTCCATGATTTGAGGAATTATTGCCAAACTGCTGCTGCTCTTTTTTTCTTCCATAACTTCATTTGAACATTTAATTCTTTACTCTGATATTAAGAACTGTTATAGGAATTCTGGAAAAATGATGTGAGGAAAAGCTAAACTAGCTAATAAAAGCTTTAATAGAACACAAGTGTTGGACTGTGCTCCCTCATTTTCAGTATCTAAATGCAGGACCTCTTCTGGATAAAGCACATGGATGTAAATCCAAGCATATGTTTTTAGCACCAGTCGACCAAATGGACAGAAATCTGGGTACAAAAACATGGTACCAGAGCTTCCTTACAGACTGTAATACAATGCAAGCACCTCCTGTTTTGGGAAGGGAGGATGTTCAAGCTTACCTGTTGTGACTGTTTCTAGACCACAGATTTTTAATTGGTCTGTTGTATTCTGGTGAGATGACTTTTCAGACCCAGTGATGATCTCCATTGTGCTGGGTCTGTGCCCTTGCAGACCTGTGTGCTTTCAGGACTCAGAGACTGCAGATATTTAAAAGATAATTTGCTTGTGTAGTCTTGTTGACAGTAGTGGTTCCTGCAGAGGAACTGTCAGTTCTGTTCTTACTGTAGCAACAAGCCAATGATGTGCAATATAGTACAAGCAGACAACTGGAAGACAGTTTTATCTTGGACATACTGGCATTCTCTGGCTTCTGACAGGTCAGAAGCAAAGGGTTCACATGCTCCTTCCAAGGTGTTTGTCTCTAGTCCCAAAACCCAGCTGAGGCAGAGCTGGACGTGCTGCATTGCTCCTGCTGCTGGTACTCTGCTGAAGACAGCTCTTCCCACCAACAAACTTCAGGACTTCTAAAGACCTTTCTGTTGCCTGTTGCCCTTGCCAGGAGACACATGCACAAGGGTGTGTGTCAGTATGTATTTTTCCATGTGATAAAATGCTATGCTGCACTGCATTAAGCAAAGCAGCAGAGTGCAGCTTTGCCAGAAGCTTCCTGTTGCATGTGGGGAGCATGGGGTAATTTGTAAACTTAGTTTTCAGCTGTGATAAAATTAACCAGGTGGCAATAATTTGGAGATCAGAACATTCATTCTGGTCTTGGTTTTGCTCTCAACTTTGTCAGACCATGTTTGGTAGTTTAAGCCTTTTCTTTTTTTCAAATGTTTGCTGGAAACTCCTTCCCTAGTAACTTTTTCTACTTTGCTTCCAACTCTGGGACTTCTCCAAGAGCTTGATGATAATATGAAACTTGAACTGCTCTTAGATGTGTCACACTGACCAGCTCTGGCAAGATGGAACAAACATGCTGTTTTACCTCTGGCTAATGTGATACAGAGGAAAAACCCCTTTCCTTAAAAAAAAGTCAGTGTGACAATTCACACAGGGGACCTGGTAATCCAGCACAGTGGCATCCTGTGTGCAGGGAACAAGGAATAACAGCATTTGATGAGGTGCAGCACATTTCACCTGCACCCCTGCTCTGGGGGGAAGCAGATGGCTGCCCCTAGGCCTAATTCACTGCACAATTCAGGTTATGGCCTTTTCCCCCCTCTTTGTTAAAAGGAAGAAAATCTTGATTTTAGCTATAGCCCTGTTGACCAAAGTTCCAAAAGAAAAAGGCCTTTACTCACATTTCAGCCACGCTTAGTGTACAAGAATTGCATTTTTAACACTGGAATGTGAAGAGAGCTTAGATGCCATTTGAGATATTTGAAAAATAAACTGGTGCCTTTGGGGGTTTCTTTTTGCATCTGACTAAGTACTTAAACCACTAAAAGTCAGTGACATTGCTTTCCTCAAAATAAGATGCTTTTTTTTTTTACAAAAAGTCTTGCTGCTACCTAAATTGGAGGCCCAAAGCTGACAGGGTGTGTCTAAATGTGTATGAATGAAAAACAGAATGCTGCCTAAGAGTTTAGTCCAGGCTCTGGTCCAAGGGCTCAGTTAATTTTGCATTTGTCTTTTGACTGTAGTGTCTTAACCCTGTCTCTGTACACAAAGGTTTATAGACAGAGCTCTGGTTGTACATCCCATAAAGAAAAGCTCTGTTCTATAAAAGCTTGGCCTTTTCTTTGCTTACTTCTGAAAGCTCATGGATTTGGAACCATTCCTTCATCCTTAGAAACGTGGACCAACAAACTGAACTTAACACTTCTTTCCTTATGCTTGCCTCTGAAGAGGGGCAGTTGTTAGGTTTTGCACACATGGATGTGGCCCAATTCTGACAGTAACCTCTGCCCTGTTTCCAACAGAGTGAATGGAAAAATAAGTAGATTTACACAATAAGGTGTTGGAAAGAATGAAACCTTACCCTAGCCATCGTAGCAAGTAACACCTGAATTCTTCTGTGCATGTATTTAATCAGTAAAGCCAGGTAAAAAAAATTGATATGTCACCTTCATTAGAATGTCAAATATGTGCATAAACATAAAATTTTGAACATTTTACTTGGGAAAAATTGCCTCTAAAAGGACAGGGAAGAATTTCCCTGCAAAGCAGATTTTAATCAACATCAGTTCATGGTGACCATACCATTATGTGGACTATGAAGCAGGAAAAGATAGTCTTACACTGACAAACTTGGTGCTCAGGTATAAAGCACAGCCTTTTCCAGCACTTTAGAAATTTTTGATGATGCTTCAGTTTCTATTTAATGAGTACTAAAATACAGAAATGCTGTAAAAGGCCAGAGATTGTTAAACAGAAATAAAGGCCTTAAATGAAAAAGCAAATTTCATGGAGACCACAGACATCAGTGTACTACTGCCTTCATAACAAACTGCACATGCTATCCAAGGAAAGAATTTTGATCAGAATTCCAACTCAAGGAGGCATTCCTATGTCTTGGTTGGTAATGTATTTAACAGCTGGATATCAGATACCTGATATTAAAGATGCAATTTCTGTCCCAATTTGCATTAATGCCTTCGTTGTTCCATAGATGTTGGAATGTCTTATCCATTCCTTCTCCTCTATTGGTAATGTATTTAACAGCTGGATATCAGATACCTGATATTAAAGATGCAATTTCTGTCCCAATTTGCATTAATGCCTTCATTGTTCCAGGTGTACATAGATGTTGGAGTGTCTTATCCATTCCTTCTCCTCTGATTTTGAAGTTTCAGCTGGAAAATAAACATTTCTGCTTCTCTTAATTATCAGAATAATTTCTAAGGGAGATTATTATAGTGGGCTTGAATTTTATTTAAAAAATACTAAATTGCAGTATGCAAGGTTTAATTTGGGAGGGCAACACTGTGTTCCTCTAAGCCCTTTTGGTTGATGGATGTGAAAGTTTATATTAAATTTACAGTTCAAATGAACATACTGTAGAACATAAACCAATCAGGAGGTTTGCTGTGCTATTGAAACTGAAGGTCAGCTCCCTTTGCAGCACTGTAACATTTAAACTGTCATTAAAGATTGACTTTCTGATGCCTTAACTTATTTGCATTTGATAAAATTTTGTAGCTGGTGCCTGTGTGCAGAAATTACCTGACATTAAACAATTTAAAGTGGCATGAGCTAGTCTAAATCCAATGAAGATGCTGAATGTGATGATTTGTTAGTTGTTAGTAGATTTCAAAATGCTCTGAATTTTTCAGTGGATACTTAAGTTTTACATACAACGTGTATGTTAATGTTTTCATTAGTTCTGATACACTGAGGTCATGTACAAAAATCCATGGAAAATGTGAATAAATGAATGGAAGATTCATTTGTCTTGTGTGAATCACTTTCATTTTGAGTGTATAACATGGAGTAATAAAATGAATTGTACAACCAGTTGCTTGCAGGTGAGCTCCTGCCTGGAAAATTCTGCTCCTGAAAGAAGGAATGTCCTGCCCTGCCCATTCCTGTCTTGGAAGCCTGGAGCCAGTTCAGCAAAATGCTTCCTCCTTGTGGGGTCAGTGAGCTGAGCCAGCTTGGAGCAAGGAGCTGGGGCTGCCTTGGAGGACAGAGGGAACCCCTGTGCTCACAGAGCAATAGAGTCACTGGTAGAGACTGACCTCTAAATCCTCCACATGAATATTAAAGGGTTTAGAAACCACATCATCTACGTGTGCCCGATGACCCTTTCTGAATTTACTCTAGATCTTGCCTAGAGGCACTAGCCTAAAGTCAGGCCAAAGTGATTATTTTCTTCATTGGTTTGTGACAGTTTGCAAACACAAGAAAAAAACCCCAAGACCCCCACTGAATAAAGATGCCTCAAACTTGTCATGCCAAGTATAGTTCAACTTCATGCACTTGGGATGCTTGTTGGCATTATTCCACATTTTGGACACTTCTTTCTTCTATTTAAAAGGACTGTCATCGCTGTTTAGAGGTTCCCAAGCTTTTGGCAGCCATAAAGACTGTGTTAATCAAAATCAGGCTCTTTCCTGATCCAGCAGGCAAATGCTCTTGCAGGTCACAGCAACCACAGCATGCAGCAGTTGGAACCATTCATGTGCACAGCACAGCTTAAGGTGTGCTGGTTTGGGCTGGGATAACTGTTAATTTTCCCAGTAGCTGGTAATGGCTGTGTTTTGGATTTGTGCTGGAACAGTGCTGATAACACAGGGATGTTTTAGTTACTGCTGAACAGGGCATGCACAGAGCCAGGGACTTTTCTGCTCCTCTCCCAACCCACCAGAGCAAGGGCCTGGAGTGATACAAGGATTTGGGAGGGGACATGGCTGGGACAGCTTTTCCCAACTGGCCACAGGGACATCTCAGACCACATGGTGTCATGGTCAGCATACAGAACTGGAGGGAGATGGAGGAAGGTGGGACATTTGGAGTGACTGTCTCCTCAAGTCACTGTGGTGCATCATGGAGCCTGACTGTCCTGGGATGGCTGAACACCTGCCTGCCCATGGGAAGTGGGGAATGAATCCTGTTTTGCTTGTGTGCATGGCTTTTGCTTTTCTGTCAAACTGCCTTTATCTCAACCTACCAGTTTTCCCACTCTCACCCTTCTAACCCCTCCCCATCCCACCAGGGGGAGGAGTGAAGGGCTGAGCGGCTGCCTGGGGCTGTGTGTGGCACTGACCAGTGAATACTGACAGTAATAAAGAACACTTTGGTCATGATCCAAACAATGCCTCAACAGATAAGTTACCTTCCATAATAAACCTCGTGCTAAAGACAAAACTGAAAGGCAAATGCAGAGCAAGAGCCAGCTGAGTAACTGGATACCATCTTTGCAGGACATGGGAAGGTGTGAACAAGTTCAAAGTTTGGGCAGCAGCTTTGGTAAAATACTTGCTTCATAGGAAGTTTGTAAGAAAGACAAGTAAAATTGAGTTGGAGGAAAGCAACAACCTGCTCTGAATATTCAGAAGAGGGCTGGAAGGCAAACCTCTCCACAAGCTACAGTGTATCACTGTGAGCACACGAAGCTGAGTGAGTTGCATGAAATACAGCAGTTGCACCAAGGAACCAAAGGCTGTACAAGATGAATAAAGAAGCAGCAGCAGAATTCACACTGTTTGAAGTAGTCAATATACTTATCCCAGTTTCTGTTAGGTTTGTGTATTGCTCATTTTTTCAGGCATCACACTTGTTTAGAAATTCTTATTTGCATATGAGCACCCTGCATATGGATATTTATTTTTATTACAATCAAAATGGATTATAATCAGAATACCCATAATAATCAGTTTAGTGGGTATTACTGTTAGGGACATCATAACCTTTACTGAGAGGTAACAAGGAAGTCTGCAGAGGTTTAGCATGAATGACATAATATACTACAAAATTTTTTGTCTAAGCTGTGGTTGATGCTGTATCTGGAGCCCTACCTGGACTGGTGGGCACTTAGGGGCATTCTTCTCACCTGCAGGTAACAATTCTGTTGATGGCAATTCCAGGAAAAACTTGCAGATGGTTCATTGTAATAAGAAATTTCTAACACTGAAAAGAAAATGGTGGTTTACATACCAAACTTACTTAGGCAGTTTACGAAATCTGTGTTTCCTTACCTTTACAGTGAAGTCAGAAATGACACCTGTGCTGATCTCCTGTGCTGGGCAGGATAACCACAGGCACCCATAGCAGGAAGCATGGCATTCCCACCTGTTGCTGAGAAGCAAGCTTCAATAATAACTCTTCTTGCTTCTTGATGATCTGTTTTTCAAAGAAAAACTTAGTCTGACACTTGCAGTGATGGAAGAGTAGGTTCTGGCAACTCTTGTCATTCAGGAGCAAAGGAAAGCATCTAGACTCAGCACAGGATTAAGGAATTCACTATATCCAGCAGGGTTCAGATGAACACAATGACTGCATCAGAATTAAAGGCTGAGTGTGGGACTGCAAAAAGTCTGTAAACTGCTTCTGCTGAATCTCCATAGCAATACTGCTGCAGCAGGAAAAGCAGAACTGCAATCATAACCACAATTTAACGTCTGGGGCAGATGGGAGGGAGAAGAGCACGGGGTGAGTCAGCACACATGGTGAAATACTCATTCATGAACCACCAGAATCACCCCAATGTTGGCATCAACAGGTAACAGGGAAAACATTAGTGCAGCTGTAACTAATGTTTTGAGACAAAGCTTTTTTGCAGAGTAGGTGCTCTCCACTGAGCTGTTTGGGAAGACTTTGTATTTCAAAAATTATCAACCAGCTCCGTTAACTTCAACAAGGGTTTAAAACTGCTCATTCCCGTTTTCCTTTGAACAGCTTATTTGAAGTGAATTCAGGAACATGCAGTTTAACTATCTGCACACCTATTATTCACACATTTATGCCATTACCTCAAGTTCATCCATGTAACAGCAGCAGCTTCAGCAGAATGCTCACACTGCCCAGGAGCAGCAGCAGCCCCATCTTCTCTGCTGAGCATGCACATCCTCACCCTCTCCACCCCTCACACTCAGGAGTGTGTTCTGACCAGGAGGTTTTGCCTAAAGATCTTTCTTTCTGTGCATGAAGCACACATCATGTGAAGGTCCAAGGACAGCTGTGTGGCAAGTCAGCTTTATCTTCTGCAGTGGAAGGGCATGTGCCTCACGTAAGTAAATCCTGTTTGTGCACACAAACCCTTCTGAACAAAAGAGTGGATAATCTAACTTGGTTTTCATGCCATCACCTCAATCAACATTAACCCTGCTAGGAAAAGCCAACTAGCTTGTCTTGGGGAAGAATTTCCTGGCATAACCAAGCATAAATTACTTATTTCCAACAATAAAATCACTAAATCTCACACTTATCTCTGTGGGGAACCAGGCTGGGGACAGAGTTGAATTAACTCATATTTTCCTTGATGCATTTTAATGTTTTCTGAACTGAGGAGCATCAGCTCCTCATATACACTGTTAATTGAAAATCAGACCTGTATTATTCCTTTATTTTACTCCTTTGTTTTCTCTAAAGTTTCATTACAAGTTTCAGGAACAACACACTTCTGAGAAGAGTACACAAGTAACTGTTTGCTAACATAGATGCCTAGTTTCCCTTTAATCTCCAAAGTCTGATTTTACTATGAATAATCTGACCTTGTGTGCCAAGCAATATTAGGGTATTTCTTGGGAGGATCTCTCCAGGTTTGGCCAGGCAGGACACAACACTCCAGGACAAAATAACATGAGCTAACTTAGCTGCCCAAAGCAGGGACACCACAGAGAAAGATGTACTGCCACACTGTTAATCCCATATTTGTCTTTTAGTATATTCAAGAAATTAATTCCATAAAGACAGGAAAGCTTTTCAAACATGTCCATGGCAGTCTTCTTTTTCTCAGCATTTGGATCAAAAACTAAACCCAAAACCAGCAAACCTTTTCCTGTCCAAACTCCTTGAATGACTAAGCAAGCAGGGGAGGTTTTTTACCATCACTCATGAGGTTCTAATGCTCTTTACTTTTTGTAACGACTTAAATAATGTTAATGTTTCTCCATTATGGCTGCTTCCAAAAACCTTTCAACTTGAAACAATC